GTGTCGGGGAACTGCTTGGGAGAACCAGGCCTCCTACTCATATGAATGTTGGTTGAATGCTGATTCATTCGTCTGTTCATCTGCTGGGCACCTACTCTGTGCCAGGCACAAAGATAAAGACATGGCCCTGTGCTGAAAGAGCTCACTGTCTGGAGCGAGAGGCCAAAGGAGAGGCCCGTGGTGCGTGAGGCCCCAGTGAGAGAAGTGAGCACGGAGTTCAGGATGGAGTCCGGGGCCACAGGAACAGAGGAGAGAGGTCATTTCGGGGGGCGGAGGCAGAGGGCTAGTGAAGAGGTGATGTTGGAAAGTGTTGGGTTTTCACCTGGTAGGCAAGGCAGGGAGGTGCCCCTCGTCAGACACAGGGTGATGAGGTGGTGTCGGGTGCTGGCGAGGGCTTACGGCAGCACTGCCTGCCCACCATCACCTCAGACAAGGACAGTCAAGGCCTGATAGCGTCCCTGCTTCTCCCCACAGAGCAGAGGGCACGGGGAGCCTGGGGGCCCCCTCCATCCCACTCTCCTCACCCAGCCCTTCTCCCAGGTCCACCACATCAATGCCAACTACTTCTTGGACATCACCTCCATGAAGCCCGAGGAAGTCGAGAGCCATCTCTTCAGCTTCTCATCCACCTTTGAAGACCCATCCACGGCCACCTACATGCAGTTCCTGAAGGAGGGACTCCGGCGTGGCCTGCCCCTCCTCCAGCCCTAGAGTGCCTGCGGGGCCGGACGGGATCTGATGCACAGGCCCCCGCGCCCCAGAGCCAGAGTGTTCCTCAGCCCGTTTCAGACTGCAGATGCCGCCCACTCCCACCCCACTCCTAGGCTGCCTTGGGGGGTACAAGCTCCACTGAGGGTGGCCATCACAGCCTTGGCTCCATGGTGGCGGGTAGACAAGGGGTGCCTGGGCTGGCTGGGCAGAGGAACCTCTAGCTCTGACTGTCACTCTCCGCTCTCCCTACCCATTTGGCTCTGGAAAGCTGCTTGGCACCCCCAGATCAGGGCCTGGGTGAACTCTCTGGACCTCTTCCAGTGAGCCGCACAGTCTAGGCCCTTGTTGGGTGAAGAATGGAAGGAGGAGCAGGCTGGGAAGACAGGGCCACCACCCTCTCCTTGCTTTCAGCCCTTCCCACAGGAAACATCCAGAAGCCCCAGCCAGGAGGGGCCAGGCTTCCAAGGCGGCTCTCCTGTTTATCTAGAGCCTTCGTTCCTGGCCATACCCTGGGCTGCCCTCCTGTGCCTGATGTCCCCAGCTGGGGTCGGTCTCAGCAGGAGCCAGTCTTCTGGAGCCTCTGGGCAGAACCCTCCATTGAAGCGGAAATCAGACTGGACCCCCTGCGGCTTCCCTGACCACGCCACTGACCAGATGTCTGGGGAAGTTTACTGTGAAGGGGCTTCTGCCTTTAGCAATGGGGCACACTAAGGGGGTTCCTGAGGCCTAGAGCCAAAGCACTCCCACCACCTACCTTAGCACAGGGTCTCCGCAGGACTGCGGGAGCCAGCGCTTCTGCCGCCCCTCCTGCCCCTCAGACCTCGCATCCACAGAAGCACAGCCCGGCCAAAGACCACAGCCTTCTCCAGAGCCGGCGCTGTCCGGCAACCAGGGGTGCCCCAGGCTAGCTCTTCTACCACTGGGGCACCACGGACTCCCCTTGGCCACTCTTGGGATTTTGGTCCACGTCCTGAGCCACTGACCACGGCCAGTCTTTCTTTTTATATGTGCAGAAAAGTGTTTTTATACAAACTTTCTCATGGTTTGTAGGTATTTTTTTATAACCCCAGTGTTGAGGAGAAAGGAGGGGCAGTGGCTTCCCCAGCAGCAGCCCCATGATGGCTGAATCCGAAATCCTCGATGGGTCCAGCTTGATGTCTTTGCAGCTGCACCTATGGGAAGAAATCGTCCTCTCTTCCTTCTTCTCTTCAGCTTTTTAAAAACAGTCCTCAGAGGATCCACCACCCCCCAGCACTGTCCCATCCTCTCCATGCAGGCCCACGGGTGCACCTGCACTCTTTCATTAAGGCCTTGAAGTCAGGCTGCCCCCTCCCCAGCCCCCAGTTCTCTCCCCACCCCCTCACCCCACCCGGGGCTCACTCTTAAACCTGGCAGCGGAGGAAGGAAGGCAGACATCTCTGCAGCCACTCCTGGGCCTTCTATTCGTCGAGTTACCCCGCTTGCCTTGGGCGTGTTCACTGAGCCTTCCCCAGCCAGTCTTGTTCTGAGTTTTGTTTTGTATTGTTTTGAGATGGAATCTTGCTCTGTCACTCAGGCTGGAGTGCTATGGCGCGATCTTGGCTCGCTGCAACCCCCCCAGCCCCGGTTCAAGCAATTCTGCCTCAGCCCCCCGAGTAGCTGGGATTACAGGGGCACGCCACCACACCCGGCTAATTTTTGTATTTTTAGTAGAGATGGGGTTTCACCATATTTGTCAGGCTGGTCTGGAACTCCTGAACTCAGGTGATCCACCCGCTTCAGCCTCCCAAATTGCTGTAATTACAGGCGTGAGCCACACGCCCAACCTTGTTCTTAATTTTGTGTTATCCAATCATTGCTAATGTTACATGCACTTTCTCACTTAATCCTCACGACAAGCTTTTGAGGCAGATGCTCATTATTCCCATCTTGATGAAACTTGAGTCTCAGGGAGGTGAAGTGACTTGCCCAGGGTCACTCAGCCAGGTAGAGTTCAGATTCAAACCCACATGTGGCTCCAAAGCCTGCGTCTGGATTTGGGGGTGTTTTTTGGCACAGCACCATCGCCTCTCTCCCTGCCTGTTTTCCCCAAAATGGAAAGGAAGGCCTTTTAAACCAGAGTGTCTCACTCCCCTCCGACCTCCAGGCCAGGCATGAGCCAGCCAGCTCAGCCAGGCTCCCTGTGTCCTGAGAGGAAGTGCCCCCATCCCCCATACCCCTTACGGGGAGGGAGGGCACCTGATGTTCTCTGCGCCTCCCCCATCCTGTCAGGGACTGGTGGGAGGGCAGGGGAGCCCACGCGAACCCTTCTCCCGCTGCTCTGGGAGAGTCAGTTCCGCATTGAGCCAGCCTGGTCCCATGGAAAATGCTGGTGGCCTGCGCTTTCTGAGGCCTCATCTGATGCCTCTGTAGTTCCTGTCCCCCACCAGGCCTTGAGGCTCAGGGTAGGAGAGGGCCCCTGGCTGCCCTCCTGTCACTCCTCTGCCACTTCCCTCCCCTGTCCTCAACCTGCCCTGTAATAAAATTAGAGAAGACTGACTAGAGTGGTTCTAAGTGCTTTTCCTTTGAGTGGCATGTTCAGCTCTGTCCTTCCATGCGGCGGCTCCCTCCTGGGGTGGACTTGGCTGGAATGCTTTCAGGGACTATCTTACCTATCGAGGGCTTGAGTGACTTGCCCAAAATAAGTTTGTGATAGAACAAGTGGTAGGACTTACTGTTTTGAGAATCTGGTGCTCTCTGTTGAGAAAGATCTGGAAGTTGTCTTAGAAGCGGAACCTGAGACAGGCATGAAGTGATTTTTTTTTTTTTTTTTTTTTTGGTGGGGTGGGGAGTGTACTTCCAGAAAAACCTGTAAAAGAAGGAGGGAAGCAGAAGAGGAAAAGGAAAAATGCTGAGCAGGAACAGTCTCAGCCCAGCCTTGGCCTGACCCACAGTGGAAGAGCTGTGAGGCATAAACCACACTGCAGAGTTGAACTGGCCTTTTGGGCCTTGTATCAGTCATTGGCTTGGGAGGTGAAGGAAATTCCCAGGTAGGGGGCTCCATTCTTCCTGCAAGGGGATCTGAGTGGGACAGCAAATCAGCATCTACACCCAGGACAGACAGCCAGCGTGAACTTGCATGATCCGCCATCGCACAAGAGGGGAAAGTAATGATTAAAACACAATGTGCCATCCTGGAAAGAGGGCTGGACCTGGGAGTCAGTCTTCAGCATTTGAGATATGGTGGAGATAGGGTGGATGACCTCTGAGGTCTCTTGCCAGGACCAGTTACATAATTTTGCAGAGCCCAGTGCAAAATGAAAACACAAGACCCCCTGTTAGAAAATTAATCATTTCAAGACGGCAACAGCAGAGTACTAAACCAGGTACAGCAGAGTACTAAACCAGGTACAGGGTTCTGAGCATGGGGCCCTTTGTGACTGCATGGGCTGGTCACCCATGAAACCAACTCTGTCTCTGGCAGAGGGGATTGCAGGCTTTGGGACCAAGGAACTCCAGCCTGGGAGCCAGGCACAGCCTGAGGCTGTGCTGAAAGCAGAGGAGGAAATGTCACCCAGGAACTGCATGCCACAGACCAGGACAGTGAGGGCTGGAGCACAAAGAGGGAATGGGTTCGTGAGCCTGGAAGGAATGTGGCTCTTCCCACAGTGCCTCTGGGGTCTTGTGCATCAAGTACCCATCTAATGAGCAAACTCACTGAATATACCATGTGTGTGAGAGAGAGAGAGGAGAGAGAGGAGAGAGAGAGAGTGAGAGAGAGAGACAGAGACAGAGACAGAGAGACAGAGACTAAAATAGAAGAAAGCTGCAAAGTGCTGGAGGGCAGGAGTCAGAGGAGAAAGAGGCCCATTCTGCCCATTCTTGCTGGAAAGAGGCTTTGCAGAGGGGCTTGCCTGGGAACCATGAACTGCAAAGGGGGCCAGGGTGAGGATTCTGAAGTTTGCCCTAGGGGTAGGAGCATATTTTAGGGGATGAGCGACACATCCCTCGGCTTCCAGAAGTCGTATGGGGCTAAACGTGGAGAGTAACAAGCAGGGAGACGCGACGAATATCAGGCTCAGGGATCTCCAAACGCAGCCACCTCCTCCCGGGGACACAGACCCCGCGGGGACACAGTCTCGACAGACGGGGAGTGTGCTCCGCGGGATCTGAGCGAGCCCCCGCCAGCGCCCCGCCCACTCGGGGGCCACCCTCCTCTTGCCACCCGGCTGGACCCGCCTCCCGACGGTGCGCGGAGGTGCGGCTCGGTGCGCAGCTGCGGAGGATCGCTTCCGGGGGGCGGGTCAGCGGAAGTGAGGGCGGTAGCCCACGGTGGAAGGAGGGGCAGTGAGGTGAGAGAGTCCCGGAGCCCGAGACTGAGGTGAGAAAGGTTCTAGGGCGGCGTGGAGACGGGAGCGCGGCCTTCCAGCCCGTTAGTAGACTGGGTCTAGGTGCCAGGCGCTGTGCGGAGCTCGCGGCTCCTGTTCCCGCGCGAGTTCTCGCGGGAGCCGCTGGTGTCCGTTTCACTTGGCCCGGGGGAAACTGAGTCCCCGAAGGGTAGTTGCTCGTCGGAGTCCCCCAGCAAACAGTGACCAAGCCAGACCTGAGACTTCTAGTTTCGGCTTCGCTGCTTGACGGGCCGGGCTGTCCCGCCGCGCATTCTGTGACCTGGCCGTGGCTCGGAGGCTTCCGCGCACTCTGGTCCAGGCCTGTGGGTCCAAGGGCCGCTGGGCAGGCGGCGAGGACTTGGCCGACCTTGGTCCAGGTCGGGGCGGCTGCCGCGGGCTAGGGGCGGCGCGCCCTGACCGGTCCCCGCAGGGAGAGGGTCCACGCGGGTCTCCGGGCGCTGCTGCGAGCGGCAAAGTTTCACTGAGCGCGGCGGCCTCCGTGGGGTCCCCCGGGACCAGGGGTGCTGAGCGGGGCCCTGCGCTGGAGGAGCTCCCGGTCTCCTGAGGGGGACGCCTGTCAATAGACAGCAACGGCAGCCTCAGTGACAAAACCCACCGGTGCTGCCAGAGAACGGGGGAAGATCTTCTAGCCACTGACACTTGGGGGCGGGGTGACAGCTGAGTTGGTGTTCTCCTTCATTCGGTTAGTTCAGCGCGTTGAAGCGCTCACTGTGTCCTAGGCAGACACCGTGCTGTGCACGGGGATCACAGTTACCTAGTTCCTCTCGCGAGGACTCCGAGGGACAGGCAGGGTGCTGCGGAGCGCACAGGAAAGGACCTGACCCTGTCGCAGGGAAGGAAGGTGATGCTTGAGCTGAGCTCTGAGGAATGAAGAAGAATGAGCTCGGCGAAGGGGGTGCTGGTGTTTGATGCAGGGCTCAGAGGTGGCCCCAGTGTTGGGGGTTGAGGGCCAGTGTGACTGGAGGGCAAGGGGGAGAGCAGGAGGGCTGGCTGCGAAATGTGCAGGCCTTGGTACTCAGTGTGGTCTAGAGAGGGCAGAGAAAGATGGGTTTGGGACTGATTGTGGATTTTATCCTGTGTTGGCTTTAGTAAGCCAGTTTTAAACGGAAGAGCGATGTGATTAACAGTGTGTTTGGGAAGGATTCCTCTGGCTGTGTGTGAGGGTTAGGCCCAGCTGGGTCTTTGGAGGTAAAGTCGGAGAGAAAGTGGCAGTAAGCACTGTTAGTGCAATTCGTGGCCGACACGGACATTCAGCACAGAGCCTGGCACACAGAGGGACTCTGATAATAAAGGCTTGAACTGAGCCGAGAAGATGGAGCCCAGGCAGGAGGTGGCAGGACCTGGACCAGGCTTTGGGTGCTTTCCACTGGCATGACCATTGAGTGACCTTAGACAAGTGCCTTCCCCTCTCCAACTTCCTTTCCCCATGTGTATCGTAAAGTGAGTGACACCTCCTCTTCTATGGGTAGAAGAGGGGACCCTCCATGGGAGGTCTCCAGAAAGAGCTGCTTTGTCAGTCTAGTCTGTCCCCCGTTCAGAGCCTGTCCAGGGCTCCCCAGTGACCTCTCACCCGGACCCCATGACTTGACCCCTACTTTAGTAGCTTTATCATGCTCTGCTCCTCTTTCCACATCCTTCACCCTCCTGTGCTGGACCTGTGCTCTTGCTGTTTTGTCTTCATTTCCTACTCCCTCGAAACTCACTACAGGGCACTAGGGCCAGAGCTCTGACCTCATCTGGCCACCTGCCTAGTGATTTTCAGCCTTTGCTAGAAGTACGTATTCATGTCCTATCACTCTGCTGGACAGCGAGTTCCTCGAGAGCATGACTGTGTCTTACTCCCCCCATAGCCCCTACAGTGCCCAGCACAAGGCCTGGCACAAGGGAGTACTGTTGGTGTTTGATGAACAAGTGAATGAACGAGCACACTGCATCTGCTCACCATGCAAGAACTGCTATGAAGAGCAGTCAGATGTCACCTCACCCATCTGTGTCATGTTTTAATAGTTCATTAAGCACTCAACCCCATTTCACTCATTCACCCTTAAGGTAGCCTCCAGTGGCAGCTTATCCTGTCCACTTTTTCCAGATGGAAAAACCAATGTTCAGCAAAGTTAAATAACTTGCCTGTAGCTACACAGCCAGGAGGTGGCTGAGCCAGGATAAACTTTTTTGGCTCTTTTCCTCTATAGCTCGGGAGACTGAGATTGGCAAGAGCTGGTGTTTGTTCTCCTATTTTCTCTGATCTCTCCCCTTGCAAGGGCCCAGGAGTGCTTTTACATCTCATCTTCAAGAATGAATCCTGGGCTTGGATAGTACCTATAACGTGGCTCGATGAGCTTTCTAGCTACCAAAGGGTTCTATTTGCATCTTCAGAGAAGTCTTGGTGTTAGTCATGGCTCTGCAGGGCCTGGTTTTGTGGGGCTTGTGTGGTGACCATTGAATCCCCACTGTGGGGGGTTGTTTCACAAGAGGGAAATCTGGTGTTCCTCCAGATGGCCTGATATGAAGGAGTCACGCCTCCCACCTCCTGGAGCTGCCCTGTGGCTGCCTTGTCCTTCAAGTGCAGGAGCTGGTTCACGTGTTGGGAATGGAAGCCACTGTGGTAAGGGGCATTCCTACGGCAGGGGTACGGTGCGGGAAGGTTGGGTGCTGGGCCTGCTGAGGTACAGTATAAGGTTCTGAGACTCTCCAATTGAGCACTCCTTTCTCCAGAGGCCTGGAATTGGAGCAAGGCCACCATTTCACTCCCTCCCCCTAAGAAGAACCAACTATGATCCTGGGGCACTTCAGAAGTCAGTGTATGTCTGCCTTTCTGTACAGAGGGCTGGAAGGAAAGCATAGATAATCTCTACACTTAGCTACTTCCTCTTCCCTTCACTGACCCTCCCAACATTGACTGCCTTAGCAGCAGCAGGTATTCCCTTGGGTGGCTGGCCAGGGTGTAGGCTGGCAACTGGGGAACCTGCTCTCACTATAATTGAGAGTTGACTTGCCCCTAGAGTGTGCCCTGTCCCTAGGTTTGTGGAATTCAGTCTCCCTGCTAGAGAGGAGAGGACAGGGACGGTAGTTGGATTCAGTCTCTGAGGTTGTGACTGTCTCTCTTTCTTTGCTCCAGACCATACCAATCTGGCAAAACAAGCCGCATGGGGCTGCTCGAAGTGTAGTAAGAAGAATTGGGACCAACCTACCCTTGAAGCCGTGTCCCCGGGCGTCCTTCGAGGTGAGTATGTTGGAAGGGCAGGAGGGTAGAGGCTCAGAGTGCTGCTTCTGTGCCCCAAACCCCTTGGTACTGCCCAAGTAGGCTGTTTCCTGGTCACTTTTCATTCTGCTATGAAATATTTGTTAAATGCTTATAATAGATCCTGGTCACTGTGCCTTCCTGAGTGCATACAAACCTGTGACCACAAGGAACCTGATAGGTCTCCACATGGGACAGTGAGTGTTGTGATTTTTGAGTTGAACTCTGCTTTTCTTCACCAGCCCTAAGAATTGGCCATGTCGCCAGTATTTTTATTTATTTTATTAATTTTTTAGATGAGGTCTCCCTATGTTGCCCAGGCTAAGTCTTAAACTCCTGGGCTCAAGCAGTCCTCCTGCCTCAGCTTCCCATGTAGCTGGGATTACAGGCACAAGCCAAGCTCCACTATTTTTTTTTTTTTTTTTTGAGACGGAGCCTCGCTCTGCCGCCCAGGCTGGAGTGCAGTGGCCAGATCTCAGCTCACTGCAAGCTCCGCCTCCCGGGTTCACGCCATTCTCCTGCCTCAGCCTCCCGAGTAGCTGGGACTACAGGCGCCCGCCACCTCGCCCGGCTAGTTTTCTGTATTTCTTAGTAGAGACGGGGTTTCACCGTGTCAGCCAGGATGGTCTCGATCTCCTGACATCGTGATCCACCCGTCTCGGCCTCCCAAAGTGCTGGGATTACAGGCTTGAGCCACCGCGCCCGGCCACCAAGCTCCACTATTTTTAGTGTTTCTCTGAGGCCATAATTCCTCAGCCTGCTCTTTTTGGCCAATCTGGGCCTCCTTTACTGGGGTGCTTCGGTCTTACCTCTGTGTCTAGGGATCCTTTAGCACCCACTCTGCAGCAGAGATTCCTGCCTGGCCCAGGTTTCTTGAGACCCCTTCTGTGGTAGAAAGCTAAGTAGCATTTATTAGTCCCAGCTGCCTCCCTCTGGGAACTAATGGTTAAGCACCAGCCCCAAACTATGTGGTTCAGATGTGTGCATTTGGGGAGCTGGGACACAAAATAAATACTTCTGCTTTCTACCCACACAGAAGAGATAGAAATATGTGCATAAAAGGATGTGGCCCAGGTAGAAACAGAAAGGAGGGAGCCAAATCTGTATAAAAGATGCTAAGCAGCAGTCTGTAGGAACTGGATCTGGAATTAGATGAGGTGTCAGGGTTGGTATTAGGTCAGGAATGGCGTTGGAAGTATACGTGTTGCAGGGGTGGGCGGCAGGAAAAGCTGTCTCAATATTCAGATTGCCAGCTATCCAGAATTGCCTAAAGGTCCTGGGCAGGAACTGGTCCTAACTGCCTCAGAAGCATCAGGAAAAAAAAAGGGAGACAGCTAGGGAGTGTGGCTCACTCCATGGAGGCTGCCCCCACACTTGGCTGTACCCTTTGGCCAGATGCTGGCAGAGACGGTCAAGGGCACAGGCTCTCACAGAGCAGGAATATATGTGAGTAGTATTAGTAATACTAGATAACATTTACTGAGCACATACTATGTGTCAGGCCCTGTGCTGAGTACTTTGTGTTTACTCATTTAATTGCCAAGAGCAAAGGAGCATTCAGGGCTAATCAGGAAAACAAATGGAGGCTTCCGCGAATGGCCTGTTTTAGCACTAGTTCCTGGGTCAGTGGAAGTTCTCTGTGTGACCTTGGAGTATCACTTCACTCCTGGGAGTCCCAGGTTTCCTATCTGAATGCAGGAGCTATCAATCCTGGATCCATCCACCATACCAAATAATTTGTAGCAGAAACAGCTGAATTTTACTTGTATGTAGATATGCATTTATTACTATTATTAAATTACCTTAAATATTAAGGGACTCTTACCAATTTATTTTGAAAATTTAAGCACATGAAAATATTAAAATTTTGAAGAGTAAAAGGAAAATAAATTACCTATAATTACACAGTAATAATAAAGTAACTATTAATGTCTTAGTGTAGTCCTCTCTTTTTCTAGATAGATGTTTTTTAATTTGTTGTAATCATAGTCAACATGATTGAATCCTAATTTTTCACTTTACTCAACATCTCTAGGTTGTTGCTCATTTGGGTTGAGGAGCTATTTTAAGAAATCCTATTATGGTTCCTTTTGTATAATTAATTTCTTTTTATTTAAATCTAAATATATTCAAATTATCAGGTTTGTTTAAAACACCATTGCTGTGACATTGTCAATCTCAATTAGCTATACAGGATTATAAAGAGCTAGTCAGGAAAAATTTCCTATTGCTGTAACAGGTTGTTGATGACCTTGTACTTGTATTTTCACCAGAGGGCACAGTGGTTTTAGACAGTAGCCATCTCTATTAAAAGGTGACTCAGGCCTGTCCCACTGAAGACACAGAACTGTTTGTAATCACATGGACTCTCATGCATCTGGCCTCTTTTTGTTTTTATTTCGAGACAGTCTGGCTCTGTTGTCCAGGCTAGGGTGCAGTGGCGCAATCTCGGCTCACTGCAACCTCTGCCTCCCAGGTTCAAGCCATCCTCCCACCTCAGCCTCCTGAATAGCTGGGACTACAGGCATATACCACCATACCCAGATAATTTTTGTATTTTTCTTTTTGGTAGAGCAGGGTTTTGCCATGTTGCCCAGACTGATCTCAAACTCTTGGTCTCAAGCATTCTGCCTGCCTCGGCCTCCCAAATGCTGAGATTACAGGTGTGAGCCACCATGCCTGACTATCATCTGGCCTCTATTCAATGTTTTCGACCAGGAACCTTCTTCTGTCCCCTCTAGGAAGCCTTCCTGACTCCCAGTGCCAGATTAGGTACCCCTCCTGTGTATTCTGCAGTTTCTGATTGGCTTATCATGGCGCCTGTAAATGTTGATGAATTTTGCTTCTCCATAGACCCTGCCCAACATCTCTGACCTGTGTTTGAGAGATGTGCCCCCAGTCCCTACCCTGGCTGACATCGCCTGGATTGCTGCAGATGAAGAGGAGACATACGCCCGGGTCAGGTAGTTGAGGCAGTAGCTGGTCTGCTGAGGAATGGAGAACTTCCCAGAAGAGGTGGCAGGCAGCAAGGAGAGAGGAATGAGAACTGTGGGGGCTCAGAGAGGAGCAGAACCTTACTGTGCTACTCTTACAGGAGTGGGGGAAGGAACTTAGGGAGCACAGTGGCCTGCCATTCCTAACTGACCTACTTGGTTTTCCCTGGTCCAGGAGTGATACGCGCCCCCTGAGGCACACCTGGAAACCCAGCCCTCTGATTGTCATGCAGCGCAATGCCTCCGTTCCCAACCTGCGTGGGTCCGAGGAGAGGCTTCTGGCCCTGAAGAAGCCAGCCCTGCCAGCCCTAAGCCGCACCACTGAGCTGCAGGATGAGCTGAGCCACTTGCGCAGCCAGATTGCAAAGATAGTGGCAGCTGATGCAGGTAGGAGCCCCTGTGCCAGGGCAAGAACATAACAGGCTGTTCCTTTCCCCTGGCTCTTGGGCAGGATAGGGGTAAAGAAAATGGTAGTCCTTGGTTTGGAGGTACTTAGGTTCCGGGCTCTGGAGTTGTCTTGAAACCTGGCTAGCCTATAGTGCCTCTTAGATGGTTTCTACCAGCCATTTTGGGCTGAATGGTTTGGTTAGGAACAAAATCTTCACTTAACCTGTGACCCCAGGCAGTCCCTCCCTTAGCCCCAAAACTGACACCCTCTTCCAAGTGTCTTTAAGATCACATCTTACATAAGCCCACAGTAGCTTTTTTTTTTTCTCCCTCAGTCTTGCTCTGTCGCCCAGGCTGGAGTGCAGTGGCACGATCTCGGCTCACTGCAACCTCTGTCTCCCAGGGTGCAAGCGATTCTCCTGCCTCAGCCTCCTAAGTAGCTGGGACTACAGGGATGGGCCACCAGGCCTGGCTTTTTTTTTTTTTTTTTGAGG